CCACCAATATTATCATTACCATCATTATAACCACCAACTTCATGCTCATTACCATCATCATTACCACCATCATCACCATCAACACCACCACCCCTAACATCATTACCACCAATATTATCAACATCATAACCACCAACTTCACCCTCATTACCATCATCATCATCACCACGACAATCATAGCTATCATCACCACCAACTTCAACCTCATTACCATCATCATCATTACCATCATCACCATCAGCACCACCACCAACCATTATCATTACCACAAATATAATCATTACCATCAACAATATCATTACCACCAATATTATCATTACCATCATTATAACCACCAACTTCATCCTCATTACCATCATCATCACCACCATCATCACCATCAACGCCACCACCACCAACCAATATCATCACCACCAACACCATTACCATCAACAACATCATTACCACCATTATCAACATCATAACCACCAACTTTACCCTCATTACCATCATCATCATCACCACGACCATCATAGCTATCATCACCACCAACTTCAACCTCATTACCATCATCATCATTACCATCAACAACATCACCACCAACATTATCATTACCATCATCATAACCACCAACTTCACGCTTATTACCATCATCATCATTACCACCACTATAATCATCCTCACCACCAACATCATCATCTTCATACCATCGTTATACCACCCACTTCATCCTCATTACCATCACCATCATCACCATCATCATCATAGCTATCATTACCAACAACTTCACCCTCATTACCATCATCATCATCATCATCATCAATATCTTCACCACCACCACCAACCAATATCATCATTACCCACCACCATCATCATCACCATCATCACCATCATCATCATCACCGCACACACACACACCTCTCCAGCAGGTCCTGTCTGAGCTGTCCTCCATGCGGCAGAGTGACCAGCTCCAAACCCGTCTCCACTCCCATGATCCTCTTCTGCTCCGCCGTCACACCTGTAACCCGAGCCACCTGACACAGACACAGAGAGCCTTATCAGATCATCAGCTTCTGGAAATCACTAAAGACCAACTATTATATAAAGCAACTGTTCGTGCTCAGAGAATGAGGTAGTAGAGTAAGAGGGAGTGTTGGATGTGGGAAACCCCGCTGGTGTGATATTCAGTGTGCTCTGTTGAGGCACCTGGCAGTTGACGCTGAGCATGTGCAGTGCGGTGGTCCTGGCGTCGGTCTGCGTCAGCAGCTCTTTGACCTTCGGCAGCACACTCTGGTCCAGCGGGCGGTTGTTGTCGGGCAGCAGCAGCGAGCGGAACTCATCCAGCCGGAAGCAGGAGGAGGTCTCAGTCTGCGGCCGCTCGAAGCACCAGTCCCGCTCCTCCTGCTGGAGCTCTGAGCCAGACCTGCGCTCCTCCTCCACCCTCTCCTCCTCCACCCGCTGCGCCTCCAGGAACCCAAAGCTGGTGTCGGTGAGGCGTGCTCGACTCTTCCACTTCTGCTCCTGCGCCCGCAGACGAGCCGCGTGACCCTTGGGCAGCATGGTGATGGGCACCTACAGCACACACACGAGGAGAGCACAGGTAAAGTCTGATGTGTGTCTATATCTCTCAGTGTTTACTGTATATACATTACAGAGGTCACTGATTCTCCAGATCTGCAATAATGAAGGCAGATCTGTAAACTTGTGTATATTTTCACAGCAGAACAATGAACATTAGGAGCTCTTAGCAGATCAGTCAGCTTCTGCCATGGTGATGAACTCTGACCTGCGGCACCAGCTCTCCATAGACGTCGGCAGGATCTGACTCCGGGTCAGTTTGCGTGGGGCTGAAGATGATGGAGATGCGCAGGGGTTTGGGTGGAGCTCGTGAATGCAGCTGACCATCAGAGCCACACAGAGGAGAAACGCCCAGAGCTGACTGGCCGGCGGGAGTGGCACAGGATGCAGCAGGACTGAGGACAGGCTCACTTCCTGTGCGGAACACTGGAGAGACGGGGGCGGGGTCGGAGTCCTGTGACTGACAGCTCTGAGGTACACCTGCACCACATGAGAAACACTTTCTGGGTAATAGACCTTGGATCATCGTTAATGTGTGTGTGTGTGTGTGTGTGTGTGTGTGTACCTGTGCGGAGGTTACTGTCAGATTGTGCAGACTGTAGAAACGGTCTCCCCACTGTCTCCAGATTAGCAGGTTGACTGCCACTCCTACCACACACACACACACACACACACACACACACACACACACACACACACACACACACACACACACACATTATTATTATTATTATTGACAAATACACACACACTACACTGTTAGTTAGTACACACATACTACACTC